CAACAGAAACAACGACGCAAACACAACAGAAACAACGACACAAACACAACAAAAACAACGACACAAACACAACAAAAACAACGACACAAACACAACAAAAACAACGACACAAACACAACAAAAACAACGACACAAACACAACAAAAACAACGACACAAACACAACAAAAAAAACGACACAAACACAACAGAAATACAACACAAACACAACAGAAACAACGACACAAACACAACAGAAACAACGACACAAACACAACAAAAACAACGACACAAACACAACAAAAACAACGACACAAACACAACAAAAAAAACGACACAAACACAACAGAAATACAACACAAACACAACAAAAATAACGACACAAACAACGACACAAACACAACAAAAACAACGACACAAACACAACAAAAACAACGACACAAACAACGAAACAAACACAACGACACAAACACAACAAAAACAACGACACAAACACAACAAAAACAACGACACAAACAACGAAACAAACACAACGACACAAACACAACAAAAACAACGACACAAACACAACAAAAACAACGACACAAACAACGACACAAACACAACAAAAACAACGACACAAACACAACAAAAACAACAGAAACAACGACACAAACAAAACAAAACAACGACACAAACAACGAACAAAAAACAACAACACAAAAAAACAACGACACAAACACAACAAAAACAACGACACAAACACAACGACACAAACACAACAAAAACAACGACACAAACACAACAAAAACAACGACACAAACAACGACACAAACACAACAAAAACAACGACACAAACACAACAAAAACAACGACACAAACACAACAGAAACAACGACACAAACAAAACAGAAACAACGACACAAACACAACAGAAACAACGACACAAACACAACAAAAACAACGACACAAACACAACAAAAACAACGACACAAACACAACAAAAACAACGACACAAACAACGGAACAAACACAACAAAACAACGACACAAACACAACAAAACAACGACACAAACAACAAAAACAACGACACAAACACAACAAAAACAACGACACAAACACAACAAAAACAACGACACAAACACAACACGAAACAACGACACAAACAAAACAGAAACAACGACACAAACACAACAGAAACAACGACACAAACACAACATAAACAACGACACAAACAACAGAAACGACACAAACACAACAAAAACAACGACACAAACACAACAAAAACAACGACACAAACACAACAAAAACAACGACACAAACACAACAAAAACAACGACACAAACACAACAGAAACAAAGACACAAACAACAACAGAAACAACGACACAAACACACCAGAAACAACGACACAAACAACAGCACTAACAAGAGGACCAAGAACAAACACACCACGACAAAGAAACAAAAGCAACAAGGACACGACCCTGACCCACAACAAGAACAAGGTGAAGAAAGTTGTCTTAGCCACCAGTGAAGGACCTGTAACCTTTGACACTCCCGCTGACGCTCAGGATATTCACAACCTAACTACAACTGCTGGTTTATGCACGATAATTGCGTTGTTAGGACGTTTTAATAACGTGGTAAGCGTTTGACTGCCTTACTCATCCTGTGGGTGGTGATGGGTCACTATACTCATCCTGTGGGTGGTGGTGGGTCACTATACTCATCCTGTGGGTGGTGGTGGGTCACTATACTCATCCTGTGGGTGGTGGTGGTGGGTCACTATACTCATCCTGTGGGTGGTGGTGGGTTACTATACTCATCCTGTGGGTGGTGGTGGGTCGCTATACTCATCCTGTGGGTGGTGGTGGGTCACTATACTCATGCTGTGGGTGGTGGTGGTGGGTCACTATACTCATGCTGTGGGTGGTGGTGGGTCACTATACTCATCCTGTGGGTGGTGGTGGGTTACTATACTCATCCTGTGGGTGGTGTTGGGTCGCTATACTCATCCTGTGGGTGGTGGTGGGTCACTATACTCATGCTGTGGGGGATGGTGGGTCACTATACTCATGCTGTGGGTGGTGGTGGGTCACTATACTCATGCTGTGGGTGGTGGTGGTGGGTCACTATACTCATCCTGTGGGTGGTGGTGGGTCACTATACTCATGCTGTGGGGGGTGGTGGGTCACTATACTCATCCTGTGGGTGGTGGTGGTTCGCTATACTCATCCTGTGGGTGGTGGTGGGTCGCTATACTCATGCTGTGGGTGGTGGTGGGTCACTATACTCATCCTGTGGGTGGTGGTGGGTCGCTATACTCATCCTGTGGGTGGTGGTGGTTCGCTATACTCATCCTGTGGGTGGTGGTGGGTCGCTATACTCATGCTGTGGGTGGTGGTGGGTCACTATACTCATCCTGTGGATGGTGGTGGGTCGCTATACTCATCCTGTGGGTTGTGGTGGGTCGCTATACTCATGCTGTGGGTGGTGGTGGGTCACTATACTCATCCTGTGGGTTGTGGTGGGTCGCTATACTCATGCTGTGGGTGGTGGTGGGTCGCTATACTCATGCTGTGGGTGGTGGTGGGTCACTATACTCATCCTGTGAGTGGTGGTGGTTCGCTATACTCATCGTGTTTATGTGGTATTGGGTCGCTATACTCATGCTGTGGGTGGTGGTGGGTCACTATACTCATCCTGTGGATGGTGGTGGGTCACTATACTCATCCTGTGGATGGTGGTGGTGGGTCACTATGAAACACCCATGACCTCCCACCCCCCCTAGAGTTCACACCCAGGGAAGCCTTCTCCAAGAGGTCAGCCCAGATGACCTCCGGTTTATCTTGTATGTTGATTAAAAAAATTCCTGGGTTAGTCTTAGTCAGCATAGTTTCAAGTATGTAATATTTCATGATACTCTTGTCAAACATTGCAATGGAATTAGATCCCAGATTCTTATGTGTAAACATCCATGGATCTCCCCCTTTTGGCCAGGTCAGAGATCAGTCACACACGTAATTAATAACTCCTCTCTTGAAGAGTGTATGGTGAATGTCAAACAAGCTTATTGAAATATTTCTTGAGTGTACACGTGTGGCCGATCTCTTACATTCTTGGTGTAGGTAGCAACAGCAGATCTCCCCCCTCCCCCCTGTGGGGATTGTATATAGAGGTCCGGTAGGGACTTAGTAAGGACAGAGTGCCAGACACCAGGGTCCAGAGAGGGCTGTGAAGAACATCTCAGCCAGGGAGAGACAGGTCTTAAGGTAACATGTGTGATCTCTGAGGTTTTGTTCCATGTCCAAATTTCTTAACTTTTTGCCAGTGTTAGAGTAGGATTTATAAGTGGTGATTGACATAATTTTGGTCTCAGTAAACTCATGTTAAATTTCCCGTCTGTGTCAATTGTTGAATCCTCTTAGCCTTTTTGGATATAGTGGCTGACAACCGTTTTCATAATTAATGACAGTCATAGAAAGTACTCTCCAAGTCAAGCAATGTTTCTTGCCTCGTTGCTTGATATAGTCTCAATGGTCAAAGGCAGATGGTGGCAGCGTATTTAATCCTTGTGTTAACATTTCCTTGTTGGCAGTGTACTTTTTAGTTCCGGTGTAACCATCATATGTTAGCTCATAACAGTGTTACCAAGTGCAACCGATGGGGAAGTGTTACTCAGGATAAGTAGTGTTTACATTATTAGTTTAGTATCCATTATTATAGTGGTGTTCCATTATAGTAGTGGTGTTACAAAAGAGTGGTGTTACAACTATACTCATCTTGTGGGCGGTAGTGGAAAGGGTTACAGAGGCACATAATGGGCTCAGGGACTGAACCCCACAATTCATTTAGCTAAGCAAGTTACAGTCTTGATGAGCTAGTAACAAAATTCAATGTAAGTCGTCACATCAACAATGGGTTCGAGATCGACCACAAGTACAGGTTCTAAATTAAGCAACTGACATATGTGGAGAGCTAGTGTCAAAATTGATATGTTTGTCCTGCACACCGGCCCCCATCCAGTGGGCAGCGGTGGATAGGTTACAATCACTTAGTTACTACCTACAGTTAGCAAACTGGGGATATTTGGCTAAAATTTCTGGTAGCAGATTATTTTGAATGAAATATTTACACATCGCTGGAACATTGGTTATAGAATTGTCTCTAAATTCACGTATCTTTTCGCACTCCATCACATAGTGACGGAGGGTGTGCGAATAATTTTGTTGACAGTTTACATTTGGTCAGGTCCACATCAGCAGATAATGAGAACTCCCAGAGATACTTGTAACCGAGTCTAAGCCGAGCAGTAGTAACATCTAGAAGTCTGCTGATTTTATTGGATGATCCATAGATGTGTGGCTCCTCTTGCATGTATGTATGATGATAGATGGAATTACTGGTGTCTATTTCACTTTGCCTCAGATCTACAAGATCTTGTTGAAGTTCTCGGTGTACTGCTGCTCTCAGATTGCTCATTGACAATCCAAGGTTACACTCAACGGCTCCTTTAAAGGCAGATTCTTTGGCTAACTCGTCAGCTCTATCATGCATTCGGAGGCCAACATGAGATGGAGACCACATGAAATGGACTCTGTTACCATCCTTAATAATTTTGTTGTATTTGTGTCTAGCTTTTGACACGAGCATGTTCCATTGTCTTAAAGAGTTGAGAGCATTTAAGGATGATAAAGAGTCACTTACAATTAATGTATCAAGTTTGGAGACTTGTACACATTTCAGTGCAAGGATCAAGGCAAATAGTTCAGTCTGAAGGGTAGAGGCCCAGTTGTTTATACGGACTCCCCACTCAAAGTACAAGCCATCGCCCATTGTCAGAACAACTGCACTTCCAGCTGCACCCGTGGTGCGGTGTAGGGAACCATCAGTGTATATGATTTGAGAGAGAGAATGCTCTGTGGACAGAGCATCAATATGGCTTAAGGCGTTGTGCTTTGCCTCAAGACGAAGCTTGGGCTGATCTCTAATTTGCTTCTTGAGTGGAAAGGGGAGAGATTAATATTGAAAAAAAAAGAGATATTTATTTACTTATTTATTTATATACAAGAAGGTACACTGGGTTGTGAGGGAGTACATAACATTGGTGTTCTTACAAAGCCATTAACACGAGTAGCGTTACGGACAGGTCCTTAACCTAACAGATAACGTAAAATGAATAGGTACATTGTAGCAAAATCTGACATACACAAGGAGATGGGAGACACGCATTCAATGCCGGGTGCCCATAGTGTAAAATTTATACATATATATGTATATACATATACATAATAAATGGGAAATGTACAGTACTCGACTCATTTCATATTTCATAGTTAATACTTCTGTCATGTAAAAAAAATACATTGACTTGTGGACTGTTAACATTGGCTGCCAACCAGAAGTAGTAACTTTAATGCACGGAATAACGTTGTATCTGAGTGTATTGATAATTTTGGTGTTTGATGTTAGAAGTTAGATCATTCCTCCGCTCCGTCATCGTCATCGTCTGTGTCAGGAGTAGCAAGAGAGGCCGCAAACTGCACCGGATCAGTCTGGGTCTCAACATCTATGAGAGTTACCCTTCGAAGTTCGTACAAGCCGTTCTCTTTGGAGTCGATCTGAATGCTACCGCGTTTCCCATCCTTAAGTTTTTTCAACTTTTTATCCTTGGCTTTCTTCTCCTTAGGAATTTTCAGCTTGATTACTTCAATAACATCTTCTTCAGCTAAGAGCTTCTCTTTCTCCGATCGGTTGAGTTCCCGAAGACGGTCGCGTTGTTGGATGTAAATATGGAAAACGAGGAAGATTATAGCGCTGACTAAGCTAGCCACAGTCATCATGCGGAAGGTCTTGCGAGCACCCAGGTGGTAGTACATATACCCTCCCACCACGCTGCCCAGGCCCTTTCCTGTGCGGAATACCAACAAAACAGTTTAGTTGATTATTGCCCCCCCCCCTGTACCCATCATGGGAGAGGTTGTGGGAAAGGTTACAGAGGCCCCTTTTCCACTTCCAATCACAGGAAGGGTTTGAAACTTCCTTACAAGTAGCCCAATCAGGACTTCCATAAGCATTCAGAAATGGATATAAGATGGACCTGAATGGACCGGAACGTCTCCACTTTCATATGTGCGAGTTGGATTTACTTATTTCAACCAGGTTATTATGGCACGCTTCTTGCATCGGCCACTAGTGTTAGTGGCTCTCAGGTAAATTCAGGTAAATCACTACAGATACCCACATGTGCACTCAAACATGACTTATATCCACAACAACTGACAGAGTTAACATACAAATAATAAACATAGGAGGCCATGACACGAGCAACAGTTGAATGGATCATTGTTTGCTCAGCCTTTCAATGCTTACTCAACTTTATTCAATACTTACTCATCGTTATTCAATGCTTATATAACTATATTTCCCAACCTTCCAGAGGTTGATAGGCCTTAATAACCTTCCAGAGGTTGATAGGCCTTAATAACCTTCCAGAGGTTGATTGGCCTTAATAACCCTCCAGAGGTTGATAGGCCTTAATAACCTTCCAGAGGTTGATAGGCCTTAATAACCCTCCAGAGGTTGATAGGTCTTAATAACCTCCAGAGGTTGATAGGCCTTAATAACCCTCCAGAGGTTGATAGGTCTTAATAACCCTCCAGAGGTTGATAGGCCTTAATAACCCTCCAGAGGTTGATAGGCCTTAATAACCCTTCAGAGGTTGATAGGCCTTAACAACCCTCCAGAAGTTGATAGACCTTAATAACCCTCCAGAGGTTGATAGGCCTTAATAACCCTCCAGAGGTTGACAGGCCTTAATAACCCTCCAGAGGATGATAAACCTTAATAACCCTCCAGAGGTTGATAGACCTTAATAACCCTCCAGAGGTTTACAGGCCTTAATAACCCTCCAGAGGCTGATAAACCTTAATAACCCTCCAGAGGTTGATAGACCTTAATAACCCTCCAGAGGTTGACAGGCCTTAATAACCCTCCAGAGGCTGATAAACCTTAATAACCCTCCAGAGGTTGATAGACCTTAATAACCCTGCAGAGGTTGACAGGCCTTAATAAACATCCAGAGGTTGACAGGCCTTAATAACCCTCCAGAGGTTGACAGGCCTTAATAACCCTCCAGAGGTTGACAGGCCTTAATAATCCTCCAGAGGTTGATAGGCCTTAATAACCCTCCAGAGGTTGACAGGCCTTAATAACCCTCCAGAGGTTGACAGGCCTTAATAACCCTCCAGAGGCTGATAAACCTTAATAACCCTCCAGAGGTTGATAGACCTTAATAACCCTCCAGAGGTTGACAGGCCTTAATAACCCTCCAGAGGTTGACAGGCCTTAACAACCCTCCAGAGGTTGACAGGCCTTAACAACCCTCCAGAGGTTGACAGGCCTACCAACCAGGACAACTTACCCACTCCGTAATAGAGCGTGCCGCACAGCGCCTGTAGGGAGACAATGTTCTCAGTGGTACACAGCTTGTTAGCGTAGGTCATCCCAGCGGACAGCATGAGGCCGATGGTGATGCCCTCTAGGGCCTCGAAGTACAGGGCGCTCACCGGGTTGTAGATCGAGGCGTAACCTGACGGAGGACATAGGAATTTAGGAATCAACAGGAGGCCTATTGGCTCATGCGTTTCAGCTCCTATTTACTCCCACTCTCACCCATGTTGTGTATTTTAAAGACTATTTACAGGATGCTACTTGTCCCGCTCCTGTGCCAGGTAAGTTACGGGCTCACTATAGCCCGTGCTACTTGGAACTTGTTCCGAGTAGCTGAATCTATAACAACAAGGATAATGAATAGAGGAAAGAATATCATTTAGTCAAATTCAGCAGATATCCTTTTAAAAAAGATAAATATCTTAGAGGATACGTAAAGCCAGTATAATTACACAGCACCTGGACGGGATATGAGGGACAAGACGCTGAAATAAATGGACATTTTACACTATATATTTACCTTGTACATAAAGAACATATGTAACTTTAATACATTGAGAGTACCAATCACATTTATTATGCTGCATTAATAGTAAACAAAGTTAATTTAATGCAGAAGACCACAATAACGTGGCTGTAGATTTCATACCTAATCACCAGACGATCCAGGACGGTTCAAAACACCATTCAGACACCTAACTCTCACGTCTGAAAAGGAAGGCTTGACCTTCAGACCATCCTGGACCGTTATCAAGTCGAGTAACGTCATCATACGCCTTGACAATGGTCCAGAACAGACCGAAACGTCATTTTCCTCTACTTTCCCACACGTTGGTTGGGCGCCAAATTACTCTTAAAATTCAAACAGAAAACGGAAACTCACCAGCAAACCTGATGGCATACATGATGAACCCCGAGGCGATGACAATGATGTGGCCGAACTTGTTGATGATGGGGGACATGAAGATGAGGAAGGGGATGGCGGACGCCGCCCCCATAGTCACCGTCAGCCCCATCAGGGACCTCGAGGCGCCAAGGTCTCCCAGGAACCAGAAGAGGAAGGCTTCCAGGTAGCCGAAGAACGCGCCTGTGGAGAAAGGCGAGACCCGTCACCACTCGCTAGAAATTCCTTTCCACCAGGAGTCCAAGATTCTCACTACTGAGCCCCCGGGATTCATGAAGGATTTAGGCAACCCCCTGACGAAACCTGTATATCAGTCATTGGTTAGATTTATTAAATAGGTTATGAGCCCCGAAGCCCTATACGAGGTTGTTTACAACAAGAATAAACTTGGGTTGTGGAGTGTCCTAGCTCGTAAACTGTTTAATAACTGTAAACATAACCACTATCGTTATGGGATGATGTACAGGTTTCGTAAAAGGTTGCATAAATGCTTGGTGAATGCTGGTCGTGAACGCTATTTGCAAACAGTTTATACTTATTATTGCTATAGGAAATGCTGAGTAAAACTCAAACAATCAATGAGTTTCGGTATTGTTTACAACCAGCGACCTACAGCAGGCAGCGACTCACCTGAGAGCATCATAGCGACGAAGAGCATTATCACCTCCGGATTGTGCATCAGCATCCAGATGTTCTTGATGATCTGTTCACAGGGCGTCTTGAACTTCAGGTCAACAGAGAGAGCCACCAGCCCCGCCAGCCCCTGTAAGCCCACAAACAGGTAGAAGGCTGGCCTGTTGAAAGCAACACTCGTTTTACTTATATATATCAACACAAAACATTGGATATAAATTGGATAAGTTTATATTTAAGAAAGACCTGGGTAAATACTGGCTTGGAAACAATGGTGTTGATTTATTGAACAATTTACCTGGTTAGTTAATAGACGCGGGATCGCTGGGTTGTTTCAAGCGTAGGCTAGACAAATATATGAATGAGTTTGGGTGGGTATGAATAGGAGCTGCTTTGTATGGGACTATAGGCCTTCTGTAGAGTCCATAAGTTGTATGTTAAGATCATTTATTACGCACTGTATACTGATTCACTGAGCTGTGGTAGAAGGCGGTCCCACCTCTTTCTCAGTGCTCCATAGTTTTACCGCCTTGGTGCCTTATTTTGGTAATTACTTATTTTATATTTGTCTCTTCTCTCTCTCTCTCTCTCTCTCTCTCTCTCTCTCTCTCTCTCTCTCTCTCTCTCTCTCTCTCTCTCCTCTCTCTCTCTCTCTCTCTCTCTGTCTCTCTCTCTCTCTCTCTCTCTCTCTCTCTCTCTCTCTCTCTCTCTCTCTCTCTCTCTCTCTCTCTCTCTCTCTCTCTCTGTCTGTCTCTCTCTCTCTCTCTCTCTCTCTCTCTCTCTCTCTCTCTCTCTCTCTCTCTCTCTCTCTCTCTCTCTCTCTCTCTCTCTCTCTCTCTCTCTCTCTCTCTCTCTCTCTCTCTCTCTCTCTCTCTCTCTCTCTCTATATATATATTTTTTTTTTTTTCTTTAACTAAAACTAGGAATCACAAGGGCTGTCACATGACGTATTTAGTGAAACTGCAAGCAAGAGCTGTTATCCTACTTCAGCTCATCTGAAACCTGCTCCGAGAAACTCATTTATTACATCAGAATCTACTTTGAAACTATCCCATAGGGAACTATCATATAAGGAACCTGGTGAAACTGCAAGCAAGAGCTGTACTCCTTCCTTGGCTTAATCCTATTCCTAGAGCCCCATTTATTTCATGAGCCTGTTATATGCATCAGTAGGAATAGCCTTTATTGATTAACAACATTAAGTAACAATCTTATAAGGAAGAGGAAGAGCCTGTAGCCAACTGTGTGCCAGAGCCTTCATGTGATCAGTTAACCTGATCTCCCGTGTATCAACCTGTTGGGTTAACAAGTTCCAGATGCGAGTCAGCCTGGGAGTGAATGATTACTGATGGAGGGATGTTCTTAAGAAATATTGCAAATAAATATCTTCCAGTATATTGAAGGTTGAGAGCCTAGTGCTACGGGTGGCAACTACTGGTAGTCCACGGAGTTGGGCCAGGTGCGGAACTTTGAGGATGTTGGCCTAATACATAACAGTAAGGCCACCAACGTCCCGACGGTGTTGCAGGCTCTGGTGTTCAGACCGTTCCCACCAGACTTGGTCAAGACTAGAGATAAGCCTTCTAGCCCGTCTCTCCACTTTGTCCAACCGTCTAATGAATGACCGGGGGGGAGGGGGGGGGGGTCAGGCGATCTAGGAGAGGGATGCATACTCTAGATGAGAGCGAACTTGTACTTCATATAAGGTTTTGCAGTCCCAGCTGTCAAGGTGGTGTGAGATGCGCCGTAGAGCTGTAAGTTTCCTGGCTGCCTTTTGGGCTAGGTTAACCACTTCCACCTTCAGTCTCAAGATGTCAATTTCATCTGTGAACTCTAGGGTTTTGCCACCCATTTGCAGGTCTGAGCGATTTACCACGGGCCGTCTAGTTATTATCATCGCTTGAGTCTTCTCAGCCACAAATGTGACCTGCCGTCTCCTGCCCCAGGTAGAAATTGCTGAAAGTTTGTGATTGATGAGTCTTGCAGCAGTTAGCATTTCCTCCTTTCTGAATGTCAAGGTTAGAGTACAGTCATCAGCATAGGCTTGAGCTTCAGGAATGAGATGAAGAAGATCGTTGAAATAAACATTCCACAGCAGAGGGCCAAGCACACTACCCTGTGGAACGCTGGCACCAATTGATTGACTCTCAGATTCTGTGCCATTGAATACTACCCATAGAGTCCGTTGTTGAAGGTAGTCATTTATTAACTCTAAGGTGGAGCCTGAGGTGCCTAGTGCTTGAAGCTTCACTGCTAATCCAGAGTGCCAGACCTGATCACAGGTTCCTGCTGTGTCTAGAGCAACAACACAGCTGATCTTGGCACTCATCCAGTGACTGATGCCACTTAAGGGGCTTCAGTTCCAAATATATGCAATAAATGAAAACTAGTTCGATTTCAATCAAACTATTTTGACGAGTTGTATATGAAAAGTGTTTCATCTGGTCCAAGTCTCAGCATCGTAGCATAAATAGGAAGGGAGAAAAGAAATATCGAATTATATGTCAAAATTTTTCCAAAATGGTCAAAAATTAACATCAAACACAAGTGTCAACTGAAATCATGTCTATGACTCTCAGCTATCACAATAGCATATAATAAAAATATTTATCAATTAGTTTTATTCAAAAAAATTTAGTTAAAAAAAATATATTGTTTTATTTTTTTTTTATTTGTTTATCGGACGATTTGCATGAAACTTATACACCTGACTGCACGTAAGCCTATCTGTAAGGGTGCCAATTTTGGAGGAAATTAGTTAATGTCAACCTCAGCCACAGATGGCAGCACCTTAGACTTTATTTTTGACTTATTTATTTCAAGTAACAAAAACGTTCTTATAACTCTTTCATTTTTTATTTAATTTACATGAAACTTACACCTTATATGTAGCGTTTATGTTTCTACAATCTGATTCCAGCTTTTTTCCCCAAGTTCATTTATTGATTTTATAATAGTAATACACATGATATATTTGCATAATTTTTTTGGGGGGGAACTTTGAGTATTTGTATTAGTAAAACTAAAGATGTTTTGGAACATCCGCTGAATCATATCCTTTATTTATATGTTAATGTGATAGAAGAGTCATAGAAATAATTTAATTTGAAACTTGTGGTTGTTGATTCTTATTAAAAAATGTGTAAAAATCGTTAAAAAAATCCCTTTCTATGTAGGCTGCAATACCGAAGCTTGGAACAATTGCAGCCCTTGTCAACTAGTCAAAAAAAGATTTGTTGACATTGAACAACGTTTAAAAAACTAACAAATGCCTCGTTAGTGGAGAGAGTAAAAGATCAGCAGCACATCGGCTTTTTCTAAAACCATACCGTCGATCACAAATTAGCCGATGATGGTAAAAAAAGATATAATTTGGTGAACAATTAATGAATTCTAGGATCTTGCCAGTAATGGAGAGCAGTGACTCTGGTCTGTAGTTACTAACTACTGAGCGGCTCTTGTTGTGTACTGGAACACCGTCTACCTTCTTTCATAAGGAGGGTCACAGTCCTTGAGTTAGGCAGAGTTGGA